TTTTTTTTTTTTTTTAGAGATAAGGTCTCGCCAAGTTGCCCAGGCTGGTCTCGAACCCGTGGCTCAGGCAATCCTCTCACCTCAGTCTCCCAGTGCTGGGATTATAGGCATGACCCACCGCGCCTGGCCTTATTTCGTTTTTTGTGGGGTTTTTTGAGTCAGACTCTCACTGTTGCCTAGCCTGGAGTGTAGTGGCACACTCCCAGCCACCAAATCCTCCACCTGCTGGGCTCAGGTGATCCTTCTGCCTCAGCCTTCCTAGTATCTGGAACTACAGGCACGCACCACCATGCCGTTACTTTTTTTGATTTATTGTAGAGATGAGGTCTTGCCAAATTGCCCAGGATGGCCTCGAACCCATGGGCTCAGACATTTCTCTCACCTCACCCTCCCAATGTCTGTAGTTCCAGCTACTTGGAAGGTTCACCTGACTCCAGCAGGTCGAGGCTGCGGTGGCCGTGAGCGTCCCACCGCACTCCAGCATGGGTGACAGAGACTCCAATTAAAAAAAAAAAAAAGAGTAAAGAGCATGAAAATTAAAGGCTGGGCCAGGCACAGTGGCTCATGCCTGTAATCCCAACACTTTAAATTGCCTGAGCCCAAGTGTTTGAGCCCAGCTTGGGCAACTTGGTGACACCTCATCTCTACAACAAATCAAAAAATTAGTCGGGCATGGTGACCTGTGCTTGTAGTTCCAGCTACTTGGAAGACTGAGATGAAAGGATTGCCTGAGTCCAGCAGGTAGAGGCAGCAGTAGCCATGAGCGTGCCACTGCACTCCAGCCTGGGCAACAGAGTGAGATTCTGACTCAAAAAGATAAAAAGAAAGAAAGAAAGTCAAAGGGTAGCCGGGCTCAGTGGCTCAACCACACCTTTGGGAGGCTGAGGTGAGTGGATTGCCTGAGCTCGCGGGTTCAAGACTCGCCTGGGCAACTTGGCGAGACCTCATCTCTACAATAAATTTTTTAAAAAATCAGCCGGGCATGGTAGCGCGTGCCTGTAATTCCGGCTACTTGGAAGGCTGAGGCGGAAGGATCACCGGAGCCCAGCAGGTCAAGGCTGCAGTGGCCGGGAGCGGCCACTGCACTCCAGTCTGGGCGACAGAGTGAGACTCCAACTCAAAAAAAAAAAAAAAGAAAAAGAAAGAAAATCAAAGGGTGAAGAGCTGTTCCCAGTTCCCAGGAGACTGAAGAGACTCAGCCACACCTTTTGCTGGAAGGTCATTATCGTGATAACTGGTGTTATGTGGGAACTTGACTAAGGTCTCCGGATCAAGGTATATGGGAAATCTTTGCACAGTTCTTGTAACTTTTATGTATCTTTGAAATTACTTCCAAAAAGTTTGGATCTTTCCATTTATCTGAGGAATATTTAAGCCTCCCCATTTGATGATTACTATGGACACTTCCTGAAAACCTGTCAAAGCGATGACTTGTTTATTAGCCCTCTGGACACCAGTGGACTTTGAAGATGCACATTTTTGCCTCAGTCAAAAGTATCCACCAGAGGGCATGATGTACCTAGATTATTCATGACACATATTCCAATTCATTTATTGAGTTTTTCAACTCTTATGGGCAGGATACGTGTGTCTCAAACATGTGGCTTCTTTGGGAGAGGTAGGTACTTCCTTTGAGTCTTATAGCCTCTTCCTCAATTTTCACGGGACGTTCATGCAAGATTAAATTGGAATTGAGACTGTGAGGTATCCTTCCCACGAGTCTTGCCCTGGGGAATATCCCAGCTCTTGGAAATTATGATGCACTGATTTCAGGGCATGCATTTTCCTGTGAGTGGCTCTTCTGGGCATCACTGCCCTAGAGCCTTCATCCTAGCCCTTAGTATGAAATAAAAATAATATTAATCGACTGGGCTCAGCAGCTCAGCCTGCCCAGCATTTTGGGAGGCTGAGGCAAGTGGATTGTCGGAGCCCGTGGGTTCGAGAGCAGCCTGGGCAACTTGGCGAGACCTTGTCTCTACAATAAATCAAAAATTAGCTGGGCATGGTAGCGTGCGTCTATAGTCCAGCTACTTGGAAGGCTGGCCTGTAGTTCCAACTACTTGGAAGGCTGAGGTGGAAGGATCGTCGGAGTCCAGCAGGTTGATCCTGGGATGGCTGTGAGTGTGCCACTGCACTCCAGCCTGGGGTTGGGGGAGGAGGAGGAGGAGGAGGAAGAGAAGAAGCAGATTAATCTATGAAGGGGTTTATATCCTATGTAAAAGCAAAATATAACAATCCATAAGTCAAAGAACAAATGGAAAAAACAACCACTCTATATTAAAATTGAAGAAAGGTCTCAAATCAGTGACTTCAGCTTCTACTTTAAGAAACCAGAAAAGTCGGGCTCGGTGGCTCAGCTTGTAATCCCGCGCCTTTGGGAGGTTGAGGTGAGTGGATTGACTGAGCCCACGGGTTCGAGACCTGCCTGGGCAGCGGGACCTCATCTCTACAATACATCAAAAATTAGCCGAGTGTGGTAGCGCGCACCTGTAGTTACAGCTCCTTGGAAGGCTGAGGCGGAAGGATCGCCGGAGCCCAGCAGGTCGAGGCTGCGGTGGCCGGGAGCGGCCACTTACTCCAGTCTGGACGACTGAGTGAGACTCCAACTCAAAAAAAAAAAAAACCAGAAAAAGAACAGCAAATTAAACCCAAAGCAAGCAGAAGAAAGGAAATCATAAGGTCAAAATGGCAATCAGTGAAACAGAAAAAGCACACAACAGAAAAAATAAATGAATCCAAAAGCTGGTGTTTTTTTTGGAGTTGGAGTTTCTCTGTTGCC